ATATGTCTCTTGGTGTCTTCTTCAAGTACCACGACTTCTTCGACTTCTGTGGCCTGTGTCTTGGTGGCCTGCGTTCTCCTACAGGGTGGACCGGACGCACATGTGATGGCAGACTTCCGCCTCAGGCTTTTCTTCGATTACGTTCCCCATGGACTCTACGATGCTCCTGCTGATCTTGAATACATGTTATCTGTGGGTGGCTGCCCTTGCGCTTGTGCTGCCGCCAGCTTTCGCACATTGTTTGCGAATGTGCTCCAGAGTATGCTGCCGGCGACCACACTGGATGCCGGGGTCGCTGAATCGCACCTCTGAGAGGCCACTGAGTCAGAGCGAATCTAGAAATTCCAAACACAAGCTGCGGCTGCGGCGCGACTTTCACGCGCGTATAGGAAATTTAAAGACTGATTTTGTCTGGTGATTGACAACAGATTCGATCCAACGACCTTCTTGATTCCCAGGAAAAGACGCAGCCACAGAGATTTCCTTTTTTTTTGTCGCTCAGCACAGCCGGCAACACTGTTCTCATCGAACGGAAGTCTCCGGACCAGGACATGCACTCAGTGTGACGGATTGTCCTTTGGGTTCCACGTCACCTTTGGGCTCCTCAAGTCTCCTGCAGGGGAGCGCAGGACGACCAGCCCCAGAAGCAATGCGTATTTGACAAAAAGAACCAGCCCAAACTTTTACACAGAATTACATTTTCCTGCAACTGTTTCAACAGAATAGCATGATTCCTGCAACCGTTTCAACAGATTACGATGAGTCCTGCAAATCTTTGGAACAAACACCAAAACATCACACCCTGAACACGTTATCCAAATAGTCATTGCACACGGGGCCATACAGATCCCTCTTTCTGGGCACTCGGTCCATGGCAAACGCTCGAAGCCGCGGCTTGAGGCTTTCACCTGTGTGCAGTTGCTGTGGTAAACGAGGGCACAGAGTGGAGACCTGCAAGCTGCCAGGTGCCAAGGTCATTCAGGCTTTGCGCAAGAAGTGCTCCGAACAAGCGAAAGCTGCTAGCAGTTCCGTGAAGAAGAAAGATGACAGAAGCCATTCTCACAAGGATGGTCAGCACAGAAAAGTAGCAGCCAAAAGCTACGGATCCAACAAGGAGAGAAAGCAGAATGTGAGAAGAGTCCTCGGAAGCGTCATTTCTCCTTTGACGTTGACAAAGACAGAAGCTTGCTCGTGGCTGTTGAAACAGGGGTTCGTTTCCAGCAGCTCGGTTTGCCGACACTGCGGCCAGAAGTCGTTGAAGGGCCCTTACTGTCTTTCTCGTAAAGACCGCAGGGATCACTTCTATTGGAGGTGTGCGAGGAATGCGTGCAACATGCGAGACGCATTTTTGCAGAAGTCTTATTTTGCAGGCCTACAGTGTGAGCCAGATACGTTGGTCCAGATGTTGGTGCGCTACGCAAACATGTCCCATACCAAAGCTGTGGTGGCCACAGACCTGGTGCATGCACACGGCGTGTCTTACAACTCGGCGGACAACTTCTTGCGTGTTCTGTCGGAGCGTGAAGCTGCAGCAGGCAAGAAGGCAATGTCGTTGATCCGGCTTCGCCAGGAGATCGAGTGTGATGCCACATCACTCGGCCGCTTCTTTGTGAAGCCTGACAACATCTTCTACGCGGACCAGATCCAAGATTTGCAGCAGAAGAAACGGGCCTGTTTGAAGTCTTACCCAGTCCATGTGCGTGTCGTCGGCGCCATCCAGCGGGGTGGCTTGATGGTGGTGAAGTTCCTGACGCCGAAGGTTACTCTTCCCAAGGCTCGGCCGCCTGTCGAATCGATTCGGGAGATTGACAGGTCCGGCCTTGCAAAATACATTGGAGCAGACAAGAACACAGCAATCTACTCAGATGGTGCTCCGAGCTGGCGAACCTTTGCCAAGAAGCTCAAGATCCCTGTGGCTCAGGTGTCACACCAGCAACGACAATACGCAGTGCAGCTTCGACGTGCTCCTCGGCCCAAGCTGAGTAAAGTCGGAGGCACGCAGTGCATCGATGCTGCTTGGGGAAGCCTGAAGCGCTTCATGCCGAAGCAGGTAAAAAGAAAAGGAAAAATGAAAGGCGTCAGTTGTATGAATGCAACGTTGGAACGCCGTGTGTACCAATGGCTCTGGCGCAAAAACCTCAGAGCTGATGGAGATGTCACAGGACAAGAGTTCCTGGTGCACTTGTCGAAGGCTTGCCGCTGGAAGTGAAAAGCAGCGTATGGCGGTTTTCCCGCTGAGCACTTTGGTGAAAGAATTGACCAATTGGGACCGTTTGAAAACCGACAGAGCAGACTATGGCTTTTTTAAGAGAGAATGTCACAGCTTTCATGCCATGTTGCTACAAAGAGAACTTACACCAAGACTGAGTCCAATCAGTTCGTGGAAGGGAGTCCTTCTCTCTGAGCATTGTGTCTCATGCTTAAGATGATTGATCCCAATTTATCTGATTGCTGATGGAAACAAACTCTTATTACTCAGGTACTTGAAATAACAAAAACTAATGTCCAAATTGACGACCCCATTTTTACTCAATTTTCTTGAAATGGTCCTCCTCAGGGGGTTTCAGGAGAGATGTAACACGCCACCCACAGGCGCCAGAAGGCGTCGTCACCTAGAGTAGGTAGTCCACTGACCGGGTTTGTTAGGTCTTCAAGCTTCTCAAATGGATTGATTGCGTAAATAGCATTGATGATCCCTTCTGTGACGTCTTTTATCAACATCAAGTCGGAACCAGAGGGGGGAACCACCTTCAACACCCTCAAGGGCCTCCACGACGTTTTGCTCAGATAGTTAGACTATGAGGAATTCCCTGCATTTGCTCTCACTTGAGCCCTTGACCTCACCTGCAGAAAGTTCTAACTTATCCCACGAAGCAATCTTTCAAACCCTTCCGCGTGTGAAAAACAACTACCAAGCCCGCAGGTTGGCGGTGTTGAACAGGTTCTTGTTCGTCAATACCGGTTGAATCTCTGCCTGGGCTGCGGGGTTCCAGTTTATAAAGGAACATGATCACCACTTTATAGCGACATATTCAAGGGGGTTCTCTTGAGTCCTCTCTGTCTACGTCACCTTCCAGCTCTGTCGTCACGTCACCTTCCCTCGCCCACCCACCCACTGACTTCACGCGCAAGAGCTGAAACTCGATGGCATTGACGCAATTGCAGTACTCCAAGCGCAAATTGTCCATCCTGTGTTGACCGTTTTTTACGGCAAATAGCTCGCGCGAAGCTGGCCATGAAAAAAGGGGGCCAGCTTCGCGAAGGCTGGAAGGAGGTCGCCCCAGATTGGGCGAGTGGATTTCTTGATGTTTCTGGCCTTGATTTCTTTCGTGGTCACATTCCATTACATGAAATAATGAAGCATCAAGAATGATCAAGTTGAAACTGCCTCTTTCAGGATACCTTGGGTCTATCCTATTACCAGTAACAGTCGATAATGATGGTTAGCAAGGCCTTCCTCTAATGTAGTGATAATTGCTTACTGACTGTTACAGGTAATAGGACAAGCCCAAAGGATACCAATACTGACAGAAGCGTCCTGGCTAAGCCACAACAAAGGTGGCGGCAAACAATGTTCTGCTTGCACTGAGTCACATTATGTCACATTTTACCTCAAAAAGTAGGTCAAGTCAACCTGGCAATACTTTTTGGTGCAGAACCCTTCAGGAAATCCTGTACGGATCGATTCCAACAAACATTCTGCAGATTCCCAACACCTGAGACCAAAAACATCACCCTCTCCAACCAAAAAACATTAACAGGCCAGATCAACACGTGATTCTACGTGGTTTTTTGGAGTCCTTAGAGGTTGTAGAAACCTTCTCCTTCCTGGGAACCATCTAAACAGTCCATCCTGGGAACCTGCGACCCTCCTATCACCGCACTGAACGCAGAACCCGACCCCCCTGGACGACCCAAACCCCCGACCGTACTTCCACCCGAACAACACCGGGTGAATCGCTGTTTGGGGGACATGGTGTGGGGCAATGGCGATGCTATTTCTGCGTTGCTCCATCTTTGGGCTCTTAAGCCCGCCCACCGTTCTGTCCCACCCCTCCTCTCGCGATCTTCGAAGTAGCCGGAGTACTTCCTGAGTCGTTTTCACTTGGATCGGACACCGGCGCTGCTCCGGTTGGGCAAGTGAAACTGAAGTAGCTGACTGCAATCGGATTGTTTCACATGCTCCATTAATTTTCCACTCTTGCAAAATGACACATGAAATCATCTCGGAAGATCAATCAAGTGCTATTGACCAGGCGTGCATTTTCATTCAGACAACTGTCCAGAAAATCTACCATCGTCATCTTCCTTCGAAGTTGTGTTCCAATCCGGTATTCACCTTTTGTTTTATGGCCTGGTATCCCTTGGAAATACCACTGCAAAACTAAACTGATCACAAACTTGAAACTTGAAAAACTCTCCGAATTTCATGATCAATAAGCCGCCAAGAACCCTCTTTTCCGCCGTTCCACAAAAAATAATATGTGTTGGTCTTGCCAAGGCCAAGGTCACCGAACTCTTGTCTTTCAATGGTGAAAAGCACTTGGCAATAGCTAGAAGTAAAAGGACTTTCTGCCCCAAAAGCCAAACATGACACATGAAAAACAAACACAATTAATGCAGAATCTTAGGTCCTCATTTTCGGGCCACTGTGCCACATGACCGAAAGTGTGTGACTGCCTTCTTTTGTGACGGCATCTCACTGCCTCAAAATCAAAAAGGGTGCAATTTCATTTGAGGGTGACTAAACACCCTTGTAGAATTGCAAGAAGGTGCGCAGGGTGCCCACGCATCTACGTAAGTCAGACCGCTGTTCGTTCACCTGTGCAGCCAAGGCACTCGTATTCGAGATCAAAGAAATAGAGGACCTGATCTCAACAACCGGTTCGATAGTTCTATTTGGGCGACTTTCAAAGCCTCAATCAGTTTTGGTCACAGAAGCAGGTGCCCCTGCGAAACTTTTGAAAGAGTGAATAACTGGGTTGCATTGTAACTTGTCAGCATGCCTAGGGTACCAACTACCTTTTGTTGTTGTGGGTTTAGAGGGTCGCCTATAAGCCTATAAGCAACTGGATTGTCCATGTGTCGACCCTCTGCAAGCATTCTGACGTCCAAATGCTGGGTTTGGGAGCTAGTGTCTGCATGTAAATTGCATTCTATTCTATTGCCAGATCCTACCAGATCGTTTGTCGCTGGCTAAAGGCACACGCACTGCGCAAGGTCAGCGGTCATCTTTGAAGTTGCCAAAATCACTTCAATCAACCGATCAATCCCATTGGGCAGCAAGACATCAAGAGCCACGAGGTAGGCATCTCCGGGAAGTCGGAGCTATCTTCCTCCGCTGTCGAATTTCATCAACAAACAACCAGCACCACCTGGCCGATTGTGTGCAGCCGCATTTTTTCGGGCGCGGGGTGCTTTTTTTGGAGCTGTTTTTGCGGAGAGGGTGATTGCAATGGGCGTGCGAACACGAAAGGATGAGCAAGTTTTCACAGGCTCCGATGCCGGTCTTGCGGACGTTTGTGTAGTTGGAGCAGGATGAGTGCAGTGGTTAAGGCGCCAAACCCTCGGAGGGCCCTACGTGGATGTGGATTTGTGTGAGCGCGCTTGATGGCGTGGATTGCTGCGAAGACATTGCCTGCACATGTGCAGGTACCGGAAGAAATGCAGCCCAATGTGACATGCGCTGTGAACCTAGGCGTGTTTCACAGGCGGCAGCACGTTTGAAAGAAGAAGCCGAGTGCCTTCTGTGTGTAGGGAAGGAGAGCTCTACAGCGTCAGAACCCACAGTTTGCTTAATGCTTGGCAAGTTAAAGGATGGGGGTGTACACTGGGGTGGGACGAAAGCGTTGCCACCGCGTTCGAAGGAGAGCTGCTTCGCTGCCCCCTGTCCCTGCCGTGCTGGGCCGACAGCTCGGCTGGAAGGTGCCCTGGAAGTGGAGCGTGGAGCGTTCGCTGCGTTCGGTGATATGTTCAATGACTTCCCATGACTGGCTTTGGGGTCGCCAGAAGACATGGCACATCATCCGCGTCCACATAGGCAGGATCAACGTCACGGACTCCCGTCTGTCCGGCATGCCTCTGAAGTGCGGCCTTGATGACGCACTGGGACCCAGTGGGACATTGATCTTCAGAGTCGGAACGTATCCGAGCATAACAAGGCTACTCACTAAACATTGAATGCCTCACCCCACATCTGGTCGCCTCACTTGGGGAAAGGGGGCACTGATGAGTTGCCCTGGCACTAGAAAGGCAGGCCCCCCAAACAAAGCACAGTACTCCGCCTCATCTTCTTGTGGTTCCCTCGCAGTGGGCGAAGCAGCGGCATTGTGTCAATTGATTTGCATGGTGTCCTGCAAGCTACACGGGTTGAACTCTTCGAAGATGGAGCTTGTTTAGGGGGTCAGCACCTCCACATCCTTCAAATCGACTGATCCGGTGGGGTCAGCTGCGTCTTCGGCCGTCTTCGGCGAACCCACGCGACTCAGCAGGGTGATCGTCGGGTTGGCCTTGTCGTGTTGGCCTCGTGGAATTCAGGTTGGTCCTTAGTAGAAATGGTGTAATCGGTCGATGTTGGCAGCACTTTGTTATTGAAAGACTACCATACGTTCTGGCATCGGCCCTTCTCGCTTTTTCATGCAGCTCGGTCGCCGAGTTCAGCCGAACTCGGCGACCGAGTAGCGTGGCGTCGGCGATGGTGGAAGCATCCGCGCACGCGCATGGAGATGTGGTCTCCATAGCCACCGCACGCGTCGCGTCGGAGTTCATTCGAGTCTTCGTCGTGTCCCGAAAACCAGTCGTGGATGAAGGACCGAAGTGAAACCAGGAATCCATTTGACCGATGGACTCCTCATGATCCGAAGTCACCAGTCGCCTTTCCCAGTCGCCTTCGTCTGCCTTCGCCACACCTGCCGGTCCGTCTGGATCCAAACCCGCCTGGTCCACTCGAGCACGCTGCTCGTAGATGGGTTCTTGTCCGGCAAAGGGCTCCTGTTCCTGCGGCTCGCGGCTGTGCGTCATGGCACCCGGGAGGCCCCAACCCTTGACCAGGTCTGCCTGGAACCCCAGTCCCAACCAGAAAGAAATGGATGGAACTCCCCAGTCCCAATCATTTCCTATGTAAAGGATTTCAAGCTGGCGCCATATTGGAACAACCATTTATTCGTGGTTGGGACTGGGGTTCCAGATGGTAGTCTATTCTCTTCATCTTCTCCACCGGTCGGTTTTTGGGTGCCACCCACCGAGATGCGGTCATTCTGCTGACCCAGAGGTTGGCCCAAACACCTACCACGGTACCTACAAATGCTGGTCAGGTTGACCGCCACCATCGCACTGGAACACAGGTGACCTGGTGTCAACAACCGCTTCGTGGCGCACCCAGGCCGGCCCCCAAAACCAGGTCGACATTATTGAGACATATTGAGAAACACGACCGGTGAAAGAATTCGATCGAAAAAACAATTAACGAACCGAACCAAACCACTGAGACAACTCAAACATCGTCTTTCAGTCTGCTCCGTGCGGGTCGCCGGAACCAGATGGGTCTCGCCACTCCGCACTCCGCCGATTCGACATGCCGTGGCACCCGGGGCCCGGTTCGCCACCATCGCCCTCCTCGACGGTGCCGCAGGCCACATCCCTCCGCTGCGCACGTGGCGGCGGCGACGTCGTCGATCCGGGCGGCGGCGGCGTGGGGAGGAGGCCGAACTGCCCGAGGCAGGTCGCCGCGAGAGCGCCGAAGTGCCGAGATCCGTGATCCGTGATGACTTGGAACGCCATGAGACCCGGCATGAGAGGCTGGAGAAAACAGAGTGTTCATGGCACCATTCAAGGGATTCGATTGACCCAAGAGACCCTCTAAGCAAGTATACTCTACATCCATTTTCACCAGGCATCTTATACTTCTGTGCAATTCCTTGCAAAGGCCTGCAAAAAATTGCCCTGCAAATTGGAGACAATTGACATGTTCAAGGTTTGTTGTTTTCTTCATAGCAAAATGGGTACTACAGTAATCAGAACGGAAGCCCCTTGATCACATTGCATTGTTCTCATGCTTTCGTTTTGATTTTGCAGTCGCTCGTTTCACCTCACTACTTGCAGGTGCAGGTGCCCAAGGCGGCCCAAGGTTCCAGCTGACTCTAGACGCATCGCACACCAAATGACTTTAAGTGAATGATCCAGTTCTTTC